GTGATCAGTCTTACATCGGGGAAACTAAACAGCCACTGGCCAAAAGGATGGCCCAGCACAGAAGATCAACATCATCAGGCCAGGACTCTGCGGTCTACACTCATCTCCAGGCCAGCGGTCACTCTTTCAAGGATGAAGATGTTCACATCCTGGACAGAGAGGAACGATGGTTTGAGAGAGGAGTAAAGGAGGCCATCTTTGTGAAAAGAAATCGTCCATCGTTAAACAGGGGTGGAGGCCTCCGGGTTCAACTGTCCCCCTCTTACAATGCTGTGATTGCTAGTATCACTCAACCCCCTGTGAATAGTAAACAGCCATCAGTGTGCTAATGAGCCATTGTTAGGCTGATGGTCCTTCTTGACCATGTGAGCAGCTGGTTTTGGTTGTCAGCAGCAAACTGGTTGATCCACCCTGAGAAGGTGCTATTTAAGAGACTGAGCTGAATACAGCACCTCAGACTGAGGAAGTCTCTTGGATGAGAGACGAAACGTTTCTACATTTTTTTTTTGCTTTGTTTTTTGTTTTCTTGTTTTTTGAATGTCCAGAGGACCAGATTGAACTTTTTTGGATTTGAACTCCATAAAAGGACTTCCAGGAAATGAAGACATCAGTTTGAATTAGTTTAGACAAAGAACTGTAAGAATGTGTAACACGTCTCTGGGTGGAGCTTTTGTCTTTAAATACAGAGGAACCTGAAGGCTCTGGTCAGACGAGTCTTGGGTTTTTGTTGTACCTCTGTTGATTTGGGGTAAGAGCGTCTCCTTTCAGCTGAAAGCTTTAATAAATGTTGGTAATACTTTTTAACTTGAATCTCTCTGACTGATTATTGTGTCTTTTCTCCATGTATCTCCGAACCAGTGGGAGGAACAGGTGAATAGGCTGAAAAGTCTGCGTTGTTGTGTTGATTTTCCTCGACACCTGCAAATCACTCGTTCATTCAAACCAGGTGTATCAAAGCAGGGAAACAAATAAAACATGCAGGATGGTGTTCCGCAAGGACCACGGTTGGGAACCACGGCCTTAGAGAACATAAAAATAGCTATAATTCAGTCAACTTTACAGATATGGTGCCAAGATATGGTGAGGTTGCAGCTGAGAGTCATACTCAACACCTACTCCTCGTGCAAGAAGTCTGTTAGCAAAATATATCATGAACCACTGCACGGAGTTTGATAAAACTTTCAGAAATTATCATTTAAAGGAGCCTCTACAACTGATTAACTTTTTAAATCAATCAAAATGGCCACCACAGCTAACTGACCGTAGCAAACACAAACAGGGCTTTAACACTGTCAGTTTTACAGATATTAAGCTAACATTTCATGTGGTAGGAGCTGAGGGTCATTCACAACACATACTCTGAGGATGGCATCTATAGCGCATGGGATTGCGCCAAAACGTAATTTTCAAGGTTTGACCAAAACATCTACAACTTTATCATTTCTTAACAAAAGATGATCCATCTAAAACTCGGGCATGAAAAGTGACAGGCGATGTGCATTCTTTCAAGGAACACTAGCTCTTTAATCATTTCCAGTTGTCTGCCAATGTCAAAAACACGCTGCACACCAAAACAGTCATTACAGAAAAATATGTTGTTTTTTTGTCTTTTTTCTTTTTTGCTGTTGTGCTACACTCACCATCTTACAGTTTGAACATTTTATTTGCTTCATGTCCTGCGTTGCCTGTACTCTAGCTCGGTGGCACTTGCCAACACCTGACTGTCTGAATGAACAACTGCAAAGAAAATCTGAATATTATTCCCCAGACGTTCAATGCTTGCATGAGCAAAAATACTTTGGTGGAGTCTCCATAGTAATGAGGTGAAAATCATTCCAAACAATGCCACCAAAAGCTGTAGTAAATAAACAATTTTATTTTTAAGAAACAAAAGAAAACCTGTTCTTGCTGTTACAAAATATACAGCACAAGTGAGCAAATTTTGCACCCACCACATTGTTACAAACAAACTCCAATAATATTAGAGTTCGTAACTACGGTAAAATGAAATACCGTATTTTCCAGACTATAAGCCGCTACTTTTTTCACACACTTTGACCACCGCGATTTATACATTGCTGCGACTAATTTATGGATTTTTTTTTTTTTTTTTTGGATGAGCTAACGAACTTCATGCCGCCAAAACATTTAGCCTTGTCACACCCGGGCACTCACATAGCTGCTCCATACACCTCTTACTTGTGGGGTGGGTCCTCGTGACTCAACGAGACTACCTGTATAAATAAAAGTTTTTTTTTAATCTGACCAATGAAATTACCAAACAGGTCACAGTGGACCAATAAAACTTGGTTTCACTGGTCCATTGGGGATACTTCTGAGGGATACTTCATTTCTCCCCTTCCCCGTTCGCTCCTTCTCTCCTTGTTGTGCCCCCTCCCTGGGGGCACAGGGAACTTACACAGGGGAGCAGGGAGTTTATTGCAGCTCCTCAGACTGACAAAGTCTTTAAAAGATGAAACGTTTCAACAAAACAAATTGGTCCAGAGGACCTGACTTAACTTTTTGAGACTTCCTGGAAGAAATTTAAATTTTGTATTCCTCTTTTGTGACCGTCTATGGTTGTTACTCACTGTTGTCATCACTCTTTGTTAAGAAATCAGGTCTCTCCTGTAAATGAGTCCCTGAGGCTCAATGGGATTAACCTGTCTAAATAAAGGTTGAATGAATATGGCAAACAGACATACGTGTTTACACCCAGTGCTGTATAGAGCTGCCATACAGCCGTATGTCTATGGCGCTGGTTACGCCCACAGACGGGGTTCTCGTGTGCAGGGCGTGTCGTCGAACGGCTTCAATTTACGAGCAGAAAGTTGCTCCGTGTTTGCAAGAAAAGTGGACCGCATCCGCCTCCTCTCAGTGTTAAAGTCAACCTGTGGGTGTTAGAGCCTGAGCGGCCTGATTCAACATCTCCACGACCGGACTCTGCTTCGCACCGAGGACGGAGCCGTGTCTGGGATTTCAGCTGGTAAGTTTACGTTTGTTAACGTTACTGCAGCTTAATACGTGCATCATGATGAGTTAAACTAGGATCCATGTAACGCTAACTTTAAGATATTAGTGTGTAATTTTATTTTATCTATGTAGCTAGCTAAAATCAAAGGCAAACTAAAGACGGACAGTAACAGATGAAGCTTAGTTTGTAAAAATGTGCTCTTCCACTAGATCAGCTGCTTAAACAATTCACTTAATGTTCACTGTTTCTCCTCACAGGAGCCTCTGACCCTGATGTGAGGAGAACAGACAAAAGAAAAGTGAGGTGTGTGTGTGTGGGGGGGGGGGGGGGCAGGACAGTAACAAACTTTGTTGTTAAAAGTTTGCTGCCTTTTTCTACAGTGGAGACTCCATGGTGGAGGTCAGTAAGCTGTAAAGGATTTTGTTGACCAGTTAAGCTTTTATCTCTCAGCCTAGATAATGTTTTTTTTATCGATAATAACACAACCATGTTATTGTTGATGTTCTGTGTAATGTTAATTAGGGAGATGATCAGAGCCCTAAACTCCAGAGAACCACAGAGAAGATTCAGGAAAAGACAAAGAGGTACAGAAGTCTGGATCAACCCTAACCTCAGTGAATCCAGTGACCTGCTGGTGGGATGTGAGGGACAATATGTCAGTGCTGACAACCAGGTATCTGTGTGTTCAACAATCATCACCCTCAGAGCGAACACTTCCTACTGCTGGAGACACCATCAGCCAGGAGCAGGCTTGTTTGTGTCCAGAGAAAGCAGACATGTTGTTTCTGAATAAAATCTGTTCAGTGAAAAGGTCCTCAGTGTGAAGCAGTGAGCATTAAACACTGACGTGTCACTGGTTTGCAACTGTTCTTTTGACCTGGACATTATTTATTTTTATGTAAGAAAACAGCTTGGAATGGAAAAATACCAAAGTTAAAAAAATAAAACTCAAGATTTGTACTGTAATGTGTAACTTAATTTTATTCTTGTTAGAATTTATGTTAATTATAAAATTGGTACCGAAAAAAGTACCATTCAGGAACCAACAAGGAAGTAAAGGTACCGATACCAAATTTTTTAGAAAGGTACCCAGCCCTATATATGTACAAATGTATTAATTTTTTTATTTAGTGGGCGTGGCTTATATTCAGGTGTGCTCAATAGTCTAGAAATTGTGGTATATCAACACATGAAACTGAAACATAAAACAAGGGATCATTAACTCTTCGTTAGTCTTATTTAAATGGATGAATAAGGGAAATCTGAATGCGTTTTGATTTTATTTAAAGATTACAACGAGATCTAGATTGGATTTAAGTCAACCTTTCTCAAAAACAAAGCCCACTAAATATAAGGCACCTTCTGGAACTGAAGGTTTCCTACCTGCTCTGCACCTCCTGGTAGGGAGTTCAGCCACTTGGTGCCATCGCTGTTCCTCAAAGTCATAAATCTCAACACTCCGGATAGCTTTAGGAGCCTGACCTCCAACCACTACCATCACCTGAACACCAGAGAAGCAACAAATGAGGTCTAGCTGTACACGCATGATTCCTCTGATCGAGAGACACGCAGCAGGATTGTGTCTGTACCTTCGGACAGCAGGCGGGAGTTCTCATTCGGGTGCGAGCCGTCTTCATCAGAGCTCTCTGGTCAGCTGGTAGAAGGTGGTACTTCATGGCCTCGATCAGGTAGTCTTTACATGCACTGCTGTTCTTGATCAGGGACTCCTCTTCCACACGCTGCCACACGCAAAAAGTTCAGACAGCAGGATTTACAAAGTGCTTCGTTATGATTCAACGTCTCAAAAGATGGCGTTTCCTGAGCGCATGCTAACTTTTTAACCATCTGACATTTGAAAACTTTATAACAAAGATTTGGTGTCTGTGAACACATGGATGTAAAATCAGACATTATTCTGTGTTGCAAAAGTGCTTCAGTCTGCATCTGTACACTTCATGACCTCTTTTTAAAGGTTTTATCTTGGAATTAACTGCCCTTTATGGATTCTGGTTACAGCTACTACTACATAAAATGTAGCACAATATATGTAAAATTGACAGCGGGCAATAAATAGCATTTCAAAACTGCAATCTAGTTAGAGAAAATGTGTGTTTTGTGTCAACAAGTTTGACCATACAGCTCAGCAATTAATAAAAGGCCAAGAAATTGGTTTAATGAGCAAGTTGGGCCAGCCGTACCTGCACCAGGTATTCTCTGGAGAGGAGCGGTAGGCGGACATGCTCCATCAGGTGAGCCAAGTGTTCCTGGCGGACATCTTTGTCGTGGTTTACCCAAGCTATCACTGCTTCAAAAACCTGAGCAGAAACCCTCACGTATTAACGTCGTACAATTACTTGACTGCCGTGCCACCACCAAAAGGTGAAAGGTCGTACCTTCTCTTCTGTATGGATGGTGAGCTTATCGCTGGCGATCAGGCTGGACACTTGCTCCATGCCCAGATTGAGAAACTCTTCAGTTCCAACCACCTCAGTGAAATATTGCTCTGTCAGCGAAAAACAAACCACTTCTTTATGGCTGCAAACAAACACTGAAGTTTATTTTTAGGACAGTGTCTCTCCTAACTTTAATCAATTAAACCTGGCCTCATTCTGCTTCCTTCATTGTTCCACATCCTCCTGGACACTGACACACACACAATCATTTTAACAAAGCAATAAGGACAAGTGTGGAATTGTGAGCACACAAACCTGCATAGCTATTAGCCTGTGCAAGGAGTTGGGAGCAGGCATGTAGGTCGGCGAAGGCTCGTATCCCCAGACAGTTGGACGGATGCAGCTGAGAGCTCAGGAACTCACAACAAGCCTTTTTTACCTCGATGAGCTGAAGAAGTCCTGCTGCTGGCAGGAGAGCCTGAGGAACACAAAAACAAGGTGTGCACACCAATTCAGTTACAATTCAGTTTTTTTTATATAGCACCAAGTCACAACAGAAGTCATCTCAGGGCACTGAACAGAAACATTCATAAAAATAATAACTTAACATTATTTATCTGAGGAGCAGACTGCTTTCAGTTTAACTCCATCACAGAACTCTCATCTTGAGCAAGCATGAAGGCGACAGTGGAAAGGAAAAACTTCCTCATGAGGAAGAAACCTTTATCAGAACCAGAGTCAGGACAAGCGGTCATCTGCTTCGACTGGCTGGGTTTGAGAGGAACAGATACACAATGGCAGGTCCAGAATCACGTTAAGATAGAAATACAGTAGTCCCTCGCTATTTCGCGGTTTGTTTTTTGCGGATTCGCTCTATCGCAGTTTGTTTAAGTACTGTACATGTACATAATACATTCAAAAAATTTAAAAAAATGAAAAGTGCCACCATTTTGTAGTTTTCTTTCATTAAGCCTTCCCTGTTTTGCCAGTCTAAAGAACTATGTTACCCAGAAGCCATCAGTTCACTTCCCAGAAGTCAACACTGCTTCCAACCGCTGTTTGCTCCAAATGGAGGGACAGTTTTGCAACCAAAGTCAGAAGTTCTGTAGGATAACCTCACAGAACTGGCAGGAAAGTATGAAATAATTCTGAAGCTGAACTCATCCTTCAAGTTGTATCTTCACTGCTGTGTAACTGGGCTGCAGCTGATCTGGACCCAGTGTGACCCGGATCCTGGGAGCTGCAGGCGACAGACAGCTGTGGGGTTCAGCCTGGTTTTGATTGCACAGTGCTGGTCCAGACTGGGCCAGAGATGAAGGATTAAATCCTGGGCAGCCTTGCTCCTGGAGCAGCTGCACGTGCATATCAAGCTGGATGGGGCTTCATCATGCTGCACCAGGACTTTTTTCATCTACCGGGTCGGACGGAACCGAGCCGCACCCGTTCTGCACAGCTAGGTAACACATGTTAAAATGACATAGGTTTAAGAGTTTAGAACATTCCAATAGTTTGAGAAGGGTTTCTAAAGCCTTGATATAAAGTTTATTGTACTTTAACTTGAACTACTGTACCCCTACTTCGCGGTTTTTCACTAATCGCCGGCAGGGTACGGGTTCCCCGCAATAAACGAGGGACTAATGAAGTATCAAATGAAAATTTAACAATTCTTTTAAGGAAACAAGGTCAATTTGTCCTCCAGTAGTCTAAGCCTATAGCAACATAACAAGTCAACCCCAACTATAGGATTTATCAAAAAGGAAAGAGTTAAGCCCAGTCTTAAAACTGGACAATGCGTCAGCCTCATGGACAGAAACTGGAAGTTGGTTCCACAAGAGAGGAGCCTGATAACTGAAAGATCTTTCTCCCATTCTGCTTTTGGAAATGTTAAGAACCACAAGTAAACCTGCAGCCTGAGAGCAAAGTGCTCCATTAGGAAAATATGAAACAATAAGATCTCAAATTTAAGATGGAGCTAGGTTGTTGAGAGCTTTGTAGGTTAGAAGTAAGATTTTGAATTCAATTCTGGATTTGACAGGGAGCCAGTGGAGAGAAGCTAAAACTGGAGATATGATCTCTCCCATTAACTCCAGTTAAGACTCTGGCAGCAGCATTTTGGATCAACTGAAGACGTTTTAAAGACGTATTTGGACACCCAGATAATAAACCATTGCAATAGTCCAGCCTAGACGTGACAAATGCATGGACCAGTTTTTCTGCATCATTTTTAGATGTTTCTAATTTTAATGATATTACACAGGTGGAAGAAGGCAGTTCTAGTAACATTTTTAATGTGGGGGATAAAAAACATGTCCTGATCCAAAATAACACCAAGATTTTTAACATTAGAACACAGGTGGAAGACTCGTCTCAAGGTAATCAGATCCTTCCATAAGCAGGTCTTCCATGTAAGCAGGTGGATGTTACCTGAACATTATCCTCTGTGACTTGTATCTCTGCTGTGTAGATATAGTCCACCAGCAGGCCCAGCGTCCAGCCGTCCACTTCCTTTATTCTCACTCGTTTGGCCCTGCTCTCTGCCATCTCCCCTGTTTGCACAACTACATGTTAGGATTCCATCTACACAAGAACACACACGTTGCTTACAAACAGACATTTGTAAGATGTGAGCCAGTGGAGGATGCTCCCTTACCAGTAAACATAGCATGAAAGTAAGGGCTTCCAGCAGCCAAAACCACTCTGTGAGCAGCAATCTCCACATCTTCTGCAACTATAGTCACGTCGCACAACAGGCTCTGGCTGCACGGAGAACATGGAGACAGAAAACTGGTTATGGAGGGTTTAAGGTAGAAAACAAAAGTGAAGTGAAGGTTTAGATCACCTGCGCAGCTCATTCATGACTTTAAACGCCTTCCTCATATGCCGAGGGTTCAGAGTGACAGGACTTTGTTTCTCCGCTCCATCCTCCTTGTCCAGAGAGTGTGGACAAAGTCGGGTGCACCTGGGAGGTAGCGTGCAAAGGTGTAAAAATGGAACAAATGCAGAGACAACACACACACAGGTAGACCTGTAATAAATCTTGCTCAGCGTAGTCCTCTGGGTGTGTTATTGTGCCCACACTGAAGTGTTAACCTAAATATAAGTTAACGCAGAGTTTGATTTATTTTTGCTTTCTTCACTTTTCTTCTAATCGGTCTGAGCCCTTGATTGGTTTGTGAAATCACTGGAAGTATAAAAATTCATGACGACATGTGAAATTAACGTAAAGTTAATAGTTGTTAATATCCTCATTAGAAATGTTTTAAAACAGAAACCTACTGTAAAAAAGGGATGTAAAAACTTGTATTGTTGCTTGAAACAACAGGAAGGATGAGGCTCCTCTAAGGTCCTGTGTCAGATCTTCACTGGATTTGTGTTTATTTCTTATAATGACCTCCAGATTCTGTTCACTTGCTGCAGATAGTTTGCAGTTCGGACACTTTTGTCCTTTACCAGTTTACCGTATTTTTCGGACTATAAGGCACACTTAAAATCCTTTAATTTTCTCAAAAATCAATAGCGAGCCTTATAATCCGGTGCGCCTTATGTATTAATTCTGGTTGTGCTTACTGACCTCAAACCAATTTTATGTGTACAACTGAACAATGTTGAGTTATTATGAATGAGTTGAACAAAGTCTGACTTATCTGTCTGTTTTGTTTCACTTAATGCGCCTTATAATCCAAAAAATACGGCATTTTCCTTTATAATGTTTGAGTACAAATATAATGTCTTCTAACAAACACTTGCAATAAAAGCAGAGTAAAAAGGTATTTTATTTATACGATTGTTGTAAAGCAAATTACATTATTATATTATTATTATCACTATATATTTCTGAGAAAGAAACAAAATGTTCTTTTACACTGATTTTGATTTATTTACTGGACGTTTTTTCTGTGTCGCTAATTACAGGACACACCTTAGTTTAACATGTCTGACAGGTCGACTTGTTTTCAATCCTTTCTAGAGATATTATAACTTTATTTTTGCCGAGGCCAGTTCCATTACTTTTTGTCAGCTTCCAGTTATTTCAGTGAACTGATGATTTCCTGCGTTGAGTTTAGATACCTGCTGCCCATTTGAACATCAGCGTGCATGTTTTCATATATAAGTTGGTCTTATAGCTAATTTTATTGTCACTGTTACTTGACACGCATAAGAAGCTGCAATATGCTTGATTAAGCACAGGTTTTTGTTTTTACAGTCACTATAGCATTTAAATATAGGACACACTGGGGTTATACAATATTAGAAAAACTTGTGATAGATTATTGTTTAATGCTGTAACGATAACTTAAACTGCAATAACCCCACATTTTCCTCCCTCCTCATTTTCTCTTGCGTCATGACTTTTATCTGAACGCATGCATTGTACTTAAACTATAACAGCCCATGTGTTATGGCAGTCCTTTGCTAAATTATATTGTGATATTTTAAATATATTGTGCAACTCTTGGATACATGTAAAATAAAAATACACACAAAACCATTAAGTAAACAACCAGTGCCAATTCATGAAATTACACCTGAATCCAAAACTTTAGTGTAAAGTTTCACTGAACAAATATCAATCCATAAGTTTCCTCTGAAGAGACAAGCGGAGGATTCTGTTTGTTTTGTTCTCAATTGTAAAACTTTTCAGTTTTAAGATGTAAAAAACATATTGATCGTTTTCAATATTAAATATTTGGAGATTGAGTAGTGATGATAAATTTAAATGAAGCAATCCATTAAGGGATTTACAAAGTAAACCATAATGTTGTGGGAGAACTTGGGAGTGGATGTTAATTCCTCTGTCTCCTCTCACAATAAACTGCTGTCATTTGTGCTGCTCGAGGCAAAATCACGTCGTCCCTGTTTTCTGTCGCGCACAGATGTTGATCCTCTTTGTGCCACAAACAAAACACAGCGTTAAGCAGCCTGGACCCTGCAGCACGCGCCCCGGGTCTCGGTCCCGGGTCCTCCCGGTCACGGATCCCCGGCTGCCCAGTGTCAATGCGGCACCATTCATCAAGCACATAAAACACGCGCGCATTCCCAGCACTTACAGCGGACTGTCCATGATTCCGGTGTTTTTCAGAGGCTGAAAACTTGTCCCAGCAGACTGCACCATTCCATCTCCACAAGGTCCTCTTCGAAGGGTTGAATCACGGCGACAGTCTGGAGGTGGACAGACCGGCTGACAGCAGCCTCAGAGACTGCTGCTCATAAATACACAGCCCGACTGCGGCGACGGTCTCCACACACACGCGCGCACACACACGTTTCGGTTCAGCCCGGTTGGTCGAGCCCCCAGCAGACCGCTCCACCACCGTGTCAAACGTGATGTATTCTTCCTCGGTTTTCCTCCTTCTGTCTTCTTTGGTGTAAATGAGACCGACGAACGAGGCTACCTGTTATTTTTCTGATTAAAACAAGGACGCGTCGGCAAAGAAGGTCCTGCACGCAGCAAAGGCGTCCCAGAAGAAAGCGCCGGCGCCCTCTGGCGGTGGAAGACTGAAGCAGCACATATTTGATTTTATTTATTTATTTATTTTTAACCATTTAAATTTTTATTTATTTACTTTTTTAACCAGTTAAATTTTTATTTTCATTCAACCTTTATTTAGACAGGTTAATCCCATTGAGCCTCGAGGCCTCATTTACAAGAGAGACCTGATTTCAACAAAGAATGATGACAACAATGGACAATCATAAGAGGCATACAGATTTTTTTTTTTTTTAAACAAATTAAAATAAGATGGCAAAAAAAGCTAGACCATAAGGCGAATGTAGAAAACTAAAAACAGGAACATGTCAACATTGGTCCTTGCCAGGAGTCCAACAGATTCTTAAATCCACTTAGAGAGGTCAAGGTCGAGAGCTTCAGATCTTTTTGTAAGATATTCCAGGAAACAGGAGCGGAGTAGGAGAAGGCCCTTTTGCCAAGTTTAGTCCTCACTGAGGGAACACTGCAGGTAATAATGTCCTGAGAGCGCACGCTGTAGCTGCACTCACGCAGAGACATGTAGGAGGAGATGTATGAAGGCAGCAGACCAAGAAGTGATTTAAAGATGAAAATGTACCAGTGGGAGAGTCTTCGTGAAGTTAATGATGACCAGCCAACTAGTGAATACAGGGTGCAGTGATGGATACGATAATCACAGCCAGTTATGAATCTTAGTGCACCATGATAGACAGCATCCAACATCTGCAGGGTTCTTGTAGGAGCGTTCATGTAAATAATGTCACCGTAATCAATGGAGGGAAGGAAAGTCACAGATACAAGGTGTTTCCTAGCGTTCAGGGTTAGACAGGATCTGTTTCTGAAAAAGAAACCCAGTTTAACTTTCAGTTTCTTTACCAAGTTTTCCACGTGGAGCTTAAAAGAGAGATGTGAGTCGACCAAGATACCCAAATATTTATAGGAATCAATAGACTCAATAGGAACATCATTTGAGGATAAAATTGGAGGAAGAACTGCTGGGACCGACTTCCTGTTTGAAAAAAAAAAACATCCCTTTGGTTTTATCGGCACTTAAAACAAGTTTGAGGTGGAAAAAAATCTGACTGAATGATGTTGAATGTGGATTGCAAAAGCTGGAAAGCCTTAGCAACTGTTTTAGCACGACAATAAACAACTGTGTCAACAGCATAGAAATGTAAGGATACATCAGTGATGCTCTGACCTACATTACCTATGTAGATTGTAAAGAGGGTGGGTCCTAAGACTGAGCCTTGTGGTACACCATTGTTGACTGATTTATTTACTTTGTCTTTAAATAAACATTTCTTTCTACAAAACTGGCTTAGTAATTTACCGTATTTTTCATGCTATAAGGTACACCGGATTATAACACGCAATGTCAACGAACAGGTCTGTTTCCCTACATAAGGTGCACTGGATTATAAGGCGCATTAAGCTAAATAAAAGCATTTTGACATACTTTTGAGTGATGTGTACCACAAAATCGGTTTGAGGTCATGAAGTACAACCAGAATTAATACGTAAGGGGCACCAGATTATAAGGCTCACTAAAGGATTTTAAGTGCACCTTATAGTCCGAAAAAAACGATATGGCATTTTTTTCCCCACAAAATCTTTATTTGCAACATCACAGAATAGCACATATTTTCATTAACCCTGTTAAATCTTTTTTTTTCATTCAACCTTTATTTATACAGGTTAGGACTCATTTACAAGAGAGACCTGTTTTAAACAAAGAACACAGATGAGGTACTGACAATAATAGACAGTCATATAAAAATAGCAGATAAAATGAAAAGTAAATAGAAGAAATGAAATAAAAATGCAACAAAAGCAGCTGCATTATAAAGTGGTATAAAATACTAAAAACAGGAACATGTCTGTGTTGGTTTTTGCCATGAACTTAGCAGATGTTTAAAATCCTTTGGAGAGGTCAAGGTCGAGAGCTTCAGATCTTTTAGAAAGATGTTCCAGGATACAAGAGTGAAGTAAGAGAAGGCCCTTTTGCCAAGTTCTTCATTTATTAACCTTTATTTAACCAGGCAAATCCCACTGAGATTACAGATCTCTTTTGCAAGGGAGACCTGGGCCTGCAAGCAGCCTAACATGCATGTTTTTGGTCTGTGGGAGGGAAAAACCCACGCAAGCATGAGAAGAACATGCAAACTCCACACAGAAAGACCCCAGGTCCAACCAGGAATTGAACCCAGGACCTTCTTGCTGAGAGGCAACAGTGTTAACCACTGAACCAAGTTCAGTCCACACTGAGGGTACACTGCAAGTAATTATGTCCTGAGAGCGCACGCTGTAGCTGCACTCACGGAGTGGCATATAGGAAGTGATTTAAAGATGAAAATGTACCAGTGAGAGAGTCTGCGTGAAGTTAATGAGGACCAGGTAACCAGTGAAAACAGGGTGCAGTGATGGGTATGGTAGTTACAGCCAGTTATGAATCTTAGTGCGCTGTGATAGACAACATCCAACATCTGCAGGGTTCTCAGTCCAATGGCTGTTGTGTTAAAATACAGAAAATACATCCACTGCCACAATAAGCTGAAACTTAATTGTCAAAGTTAAAGGATCCGAACAAAAGCTAATACTAGGAAAAAAAATAGTAGCTAAAATCAAAAATAAGCCATACAGAAGCTAAAAGCTAAAGTATGGGGGGGACTCTAGATAAAAGCTAAAATCAGAAGAAAAAAAAATGGTACCTAAAAGCTGAAATCGAGGAAAACAGTACCTAAAAGCTTAAATAAGCAGAAGAGCAGCTAAAACTAGAGCTATGAGCAAAACTTGGAAAAACAGTAACAAAAAGCTAAATATTTCAGCAAGTTATCTAAAGTAGATAACAGAAATAATCTGTTTGAAGAGTTTCAGTCAGTGTTTAGAGCTCACCACAGCACTGATGATGCACTGCTGAAAGTTACTAATGATATTCTCATGGCCTCTGACAATGGACAGGTGTCTATACTGGTCCTGCTGCATTTGATACAGTTGATCACAATATTTTATTACAGAGGCTTGAATATGATTTTGGGATTGCAGGAACTCTAAAATGTTTTATTTCATATTTATTTGATAGTTTTCAGTTTGTAAACGTAAATAATGAATCATCTTCATACACCAATGCTAGTCATGGAGTTCCTCAGGGTTCGGTGCTTGGACTCTATACTTTATATATGCTTCCATTAGGTGAAGTTATTGAACAGCATGGGATAAATTTTCATTGTTGTGCTGATGTACTGTATATTTGTGCATGAAACCCAATGAATCTGATCAGCTACTCAGACTACAAGCAAGTCTTAAAGACATAAAAACCTGAATGACCCTTAATTTTCTGCTTTTAAACTCAGACAAGACAAACGTTGTGGTTTTTGGACATGAGCATTTTAGGAATAACATTTTTAGCCTTTTGCTGGCATTAATCTGGCGTCCAGTTCTAATGTTAAAAATCTTGGTGTTATTTTTGATCAGGACATGTTTTTTATCCCCCACATTTAAAAATGTTACCAGAACTTCCTTCTTCCACCTGCATATCACTAAAATTAGAAACATCTTGTCCAAAAATGATGCAAAAAAACTGGTTCATGAATTTTTCACATCTAGATTGGATTGCAATAATTTATTATCCGGGTGTCTAAAAACTTCTTTAAAAAGTCTTCAATTGACCCAAAAAGCTGCTGCCAGAATTTTAATGGAAGTTGGTAGATCATATCTCTCCAGTTTCAGCTTCTCTCCATTGGCTCCATCAAATCCAAAATTTAATTCAAAATCCTACTTCTAGCCTACAAAGCTCTCAACAACGTAGCTCCATTTTATATTACAGATCTTACTGTTCCATATTTTCCTAACAGAGCACTTCACTCTCAGACTGCAGGTTTACTTGTGGTTCTTAAAGTTTCCAAAAGTAGAATGGGAGGCAGATCAATTCAGTTATCAGGCTCCTCTCTGTTAAAAGGGAGTTTTTTCTTTCCACTGTTGCCACTGTGCTTGCTCAGGCTGGGAGACTGCAACAAAGTGAAGATTCACCGCAATCTGCTGACTTCCTTAGATTGATAACTTTTACTGTTTTTTTGTTTTGTTTGTTTTTAATGTATGTGAATGTTTTTGTACGGTGCCCTGAGACTACTTCTGTTGGTGACTTGGTGTTGTATAAATAAAATCAACTGAATCAAATAGATTTTAAAGTTTTTCATGTATTTGACAAATTCTCTATTCATTTCAATGACGACAAAATGTAAACAAAATTACCTATTTAAAAAATATATGAAAGTTGCAAGAATCAGAAGTTAGCCATAATGTCTGGAAAAGGTAAAAATGTTGATATACGAACGGTTAAAAAAATGAAACGTTGCTAAAATAGTCTACAAAATGTACAGAAGGAACTATGAACCGTAAAACAGTAGTATGGATCCTGAGTCAGCATTGTTAAGCTAATTCAAGACCATATCTTCCTGTAGGTTAAACCAAAAATACATAGTACAGTATACATAAATCATGTTAAAGCATACATTTATAAATTCCCCATCCAGTTTTAGGAGCACAGGCTCTTGCCTTTGGAGAGATCTTTTACTCCCGAGACCATGTGTGGATTTTTCTCATTGTGCCGTCGGCGAACAGTCGACCAGAACAAGTCTGTCATGGTGTGAAGACACTGAATTCATTAGAACGACTGAAAGCTTCTCTGTGACTTAATGCAGGAATAATTTTGAATTAAAAGTAGTTTTGTGAATGATTGACGTTAATGAACTACGATATATTACGTAAATAAAGATAACTTAGAAAAAGAATTTTCCTACAACTGGAATTGTGCAACGCCTCATTACCTTTTTATATACAGTACCTGAAGAACTTACTGGGTCCTGATTCTTTTTTAATGTGGTCTGCTATAATTACTTAAATCCTTAAGTTTCATAAATAAATGGTAAATGGACTGTACTTATATAGCACTTCACAACAATCTCTGCCCTCATTTACCCATTCATACAGCACTTTATTCAAAGACTAGTCATTGCTTTATCACAATCATACACCGATGGGACACACACCTGAGGCAGAGGGGGTTCAGTATTTGCCCAGGGACACTTCGGCATGTGACTGCTGGTGGAATTGAACCCCCAGCTCTTGCACTGGAGGACAACTGCTCTAACCAGTCAGACACAGCTGCCCCAAACACAACTTGATGCTTCACCTGTCCAGTGTTGAACATGTTAATTGATGTTTTGATTATTTTCCTCAGATTTTTATTTTTTTATTAAATTCAGATTAACTCTTATCCTTTTAGTTTATATAGAATGTAGGGGGGGGGGGACAAAAACATAAACAGACATCCATCCGTCATCTTTACCCGCTTCTTCCTTTTCGGCTCACGAGGGTCACTGTTGCCCATTTCCAGAAGTCACTGTGCAAGAGGCGGGGGGGACATCCTGGACAGGTCTCCAGTTCATCACAGGGACACAGAGACAACCATACACTTTCTCACTCACACCTAGGGATAATTTAAGAGTTAACAATAAAACACACACAAAAACATCCACAAAATTTAAATAAAAAAAGTTTATTTCACAGTGAAAAATAGTTTAGGAAAAATTTACATAAACCAGAATACAAAGCAAAAGATAAAAAAAAAAAACATTCCCTTCAGCACTGCAATGACTGCACTCGTCTTCAGTTTACTGCAGCTTGACAGCAGTGATCACATGAAGTATGCAGTGAGAACACTAAACAATTCAGTTTCACAAATATGAATCGCTCTGCCATTCAGTTCAAACGAGTTTTTAAGTCTGATTAATGCAGATATGTACATCTCCAATCAGCTGTAATGTCAGATAAATCGCAGCCTTTTCATTCTAAAACATGTTTTTGCTTTTTACTTAAGATGCTGGAGTCATTTGAACCAAACCGACTGTTAGTTGGGTTTTAAAGGAGCGTGTGGCAGACTAGCTGAGGCCTGTTCCAGAAAGGTCAGTGGTCCGGGAGGAGGAAGATCCGTGGGTTTACGATGCTGACCGCTCAAATCCTCAAGTACTTGTTGCCAGTGGTGGAGCTTGGCCAAATGTTTCTGAACCAGAATTTCTTTCCTCTGAAGCTCATTGCGCAACTCTGACACATCCTGAAGTGAGAAAAAAAAATCATGTACTTGAGAGATCCCAGATAAACAAAGAGTGGAATAAATCATTTAGAAATGCCAAACACGCGTGAGTCTTAATGGTTTACCTCTTTGACCACTTGCTCCGGTTTCTGCACAGAGAGCTGAAGTCTCTTCTGCAAGAAGAAACACTCTGTCTGTCGAGCCACGTCCAGGAACTTCTGTATGCACTGGTCCACACCTACAAGAATCAAACGTGTATGATCTAATGTTCAAATTACAGTAAGAGCAGTAAAGGAGTATGGGGCTTCACTGACCGGTTCGAATCTCCTCCTGATCCGTTCCGTTGACATAATCTTGACTTACCAATGAAGAAAAACAAGCCTAAAAAAATTAATGAGAAAATTAACATTTGAAGAAAGGAAAAAAAAAAAAAAGTAGTGATTGTTGGAATTAATGAGAAACACTGAAACAAGTTGAGGCCAAATGTGCCAAGAAATTAATTGGATAATATATTTTTGTAAATAAAGCAAGTTGCAAATAAGTTGTTCAGAACCACATATACAGTATATGTACAATATGGATACTCCAGATTACTTTACTGCTATAATAGAGTTGATTTACCTTTGCACTGGCTGCTGGGGAAAGATTTGTTTCAGGAGAGCAGGAATGGCTGATGTTACTTGCTAACTCATTCAGAGAATTCAAAGATATTGAAGATTGTCAACTCTTTACAGTTCAGAATTGTTGCTGCTGGCTTGTTTTACATTTTTATTTGTGTCAAAGTGCACCATAAACCAATGCTGAGATGACAGCAACGACACACCTGTGATGGTTTAGGCTTACAGCTGCAGGCCTTTTAAAGTTTTATTTTAAAAGGAAGAAGAAAAAGTTTGACTAAAATTGAAATTTAAACCAATAGAACACAAGCTCATATGGCAAGGTAATGAGCTGAAAGTTTAGTATGATGAGTAAAACTGCATTTTAGATATCTACATTACAAGCTTTTTCTGGTAAGAAGTCTATGTTTATACTAAACAGGAAAAATGTTCTCGGAGTGAAAATGCTCAGTACAAATTATTGGGAAAAGTGAAGTCATTTGTTCCAAGAAAACAATGTCTTTGAAATATCTGCGTTACTGATTTTCCATCCATTATCTTTACCCGCTTCTTCCGTTTTGAGTCACTGGTGCCCATATCCAGTTGTGTGCAAGAGGCGAGGTACACCCTGGACAGGTCTCCAGTCCATCACAGGGACACACAGAAAACGAGGCAACCATTCACTCTCAATTTAGACCTACCAATCAGCCTAACATGCATGTTTTTGATCTGTGGGAGGAAACCAGGAGAGAACTCGCACATGCATGGAGAGAACATGCAAACTCCACCCAGAAAAGTCTACTGTACTTTTCTACCTACCGGTCTACCAACTTGGCCATTGCGCTGCCTGAATTACTGATTATTAATTATAAACACTTCTGAATATCTGAAATGTTTTTTTGACTATTGAAACTGAATCACAGATATAATATTTAAATATTAAATACTTAAATTTAGCCATCCTGATTTTATACAATTTCAGTTGAGTTAATTTCTACTAGTATAAATGTTAATTTTCAGTTGACAAAAAATAAAATAAAGTCATTTGAGTTGTGGGATTGCTTCTATTGATATCTAAAATAAAAAGTAAATAAAAGAAAATAATGTGATTTACGTTATAATGACCAGGAGCTTTGGGACATTTAACTGTCTTGCAGTATCGAGTGGGCAAGCGGGCCTAACAAATTTGCATGTAGCTCGCCTATAAATCAATGGTTCCCAAACCATATCTTTGAGGAACACCATCCTGCATTTAGCTGTTTCCCAGTTCGACACACCTGATTAGAATGGATGGGTGATTCTTCTACAGAAATTGAAGTAATCAAATCACTGAATCAGGTGTAATGGAGAAGGAAAACAACTCAAACATGCAGGACAGTGTTCCTCAACGACATGGTTTGGAAACCACTAGCCTAAGTTATTAATTTCCCTCGAGCTTTTTTAACTTCATCACATCTCTACCGAAGCTAACTGTTAGCATGCACAGCTAACGAAATACGTTAGCTTCATACCTCGAAAGAAGATTCTAGTTCATCCACCAAAGTGTTGCTTCCCTGGGGCCGAGGAGCGGTACCAGGAAAGCCAGGCTGACCCGGTCCACCAGGGCCCCCGACAGGATGCGAACCAGGCGGCTGTTGACCAGGAAACATCCCACTCATGGACGAAGCCATCTTTCTGCAAGTGGGCATTGATGCGCTTTGAGCATGCGCAGTAACTAAACCGCCTTGTTTTTTTTTTAACGTCCAATCAGATGTGGCCTTCGAGATACGTCTTCCGTATTTTTGTCC